AACCTGTTAGGCGGCCAGCACACGGCCCTTCTGATGGGGGGCGGGGTGCGTCCTGACTCCCCCACAGCTGGCTGTTCTCAGGATTTGCATTTTCTGCTTCTACCAAGATTATCTGCAGAGACGTGCTACCACAGGGACGCCCCGAGACAGGCCGTTTATGACAGGTCTCCAGAGCAAGGAGAGTCAAAAGCAGATGATATGGCCACTCTGAGCAGGGTCCACTCACGCCTTGGGCCGGCACATGCTGGTGAGCGGCCTGACACCGTAGGAACTGGGGATCGGGGAAGCAGAACCCCCAGGGGCGAGTCCTGCCACGGGGCCACGGGCCTGGATGCGGAGTGAGGCTCAGCAGCTGGCCTCGCGGAGCTAACCACAGCGATGTGGCCGAGGGGCAGCCCCATCACACACACCGCGGGGGAGCCGGGGGGCCCTCCCCGCACCCCAGTGAGGGCTTCCTGGCTCATCCCACCACATCTCCCTGAGCTCGGCACAGGGCAGGGGCTTCCTGTCACTGCAAAGGCGCCTTTGCGATTCCACCCACCCCACAGGCGCCCTTGCTGCCAGGGGGGCTTGAGAAGAGGCGCCCTACAAAATGGTGCTTTCTGCAGCACCGCTGCCTCGCCTCACGCCGGCTGTCTGAGGTCAGTTATTCATCTGGCCCTTCCAGGTGCGGGGGAGACGCGTGGCTCCTTCCAGAGACAGCAGCGGACTCTAAGGGAATCCGGGTGGGCGGGCGCTATGGTAGGACAGGCCGGGAGGCCGCGATGCCCAGCGCGCAATTCCAGGAGGCCTCAGGCGCTGGGAATAACTACTTTGTAAACGGGAAACAAAGAGCTTACTGTGGCCACAGGTGGCCGGCCATCTCCCCCAGACGGTGTCCACCAGACGCACAGGCCGAGCACTGGTCACCTGTCGACAGAGCTGGACCACGCTGACCGACAGTGGCCAACAGTCACGGCCACTACTGGTGCCCAGAGGCGGTGTCGGAGACTCCCCGCGTCCGCGGCTCTGTGAGTTGCTGGGCGACACCAACAGCTCTTTGGGACGCCAGGGGGGCCTCTGGGGCTCCCTTCAGGGGCTGTCCGAGACGGGACCCAGTCTCCTCCCTCCCGGGAGGCCGGCTGCCGCTTCTTCCGTCCTCTTTCTCCAGAGGCCCGGAGCGGAGTCTTGCCTTTCCTTCTGAGGCTGGAGCGGCGTCCCTGGGCGCCAGCCCGCCCTGGCTCCCGTCCTCTCGGGGAGCCCCGCCCACGGTCTGCCTGGACCGTTCCTCCAGCCTGCGGCCGGCCGGACCATGAGCACCAGTCGGCTGGAGCTCGCACCTGACCGGTCCACCCCGCCTCCAGGACGAGCACATGAAAAGGGGGTTGCTGGGCTCCAGGGAGCCACTCGAGAACCGGCCTGTGGGGGAGCCGCACGTGAGAGGCCCCACTGTGGAGGCGGCCACCGGCATGGAGGCGGCTGGGCTCCAGCATAAGTACCCCCGGCCAAGCACGGGAGGCACCAGGCGTCAGATCTGGGGCCGAGAGTCACGGGGGCTGAGCGGGTGCGCGCTCATTCGACGGGCCGTGCCAGCCAGGAGCGCGAGGCAGGTCATGCCGTCGCAGCGGGAGCGCCGAGTCCTTTCTCACTTTCCAAAGGCATCTTGGCGGGGGGCGGGGGGCCTTTCTGGCCACAAGCAGCAGAGCACCAGGCAGTGCCTGCAACAAGACCTCTGCTGCGGCTCAGCAAGGCTGGCCTCCCCTTCCCTGGGACGGGCGCCTCGCCCGCCAGCAGCAACACGGGCCCATCTGGAAGTTTGTGCCACTCACTGTCATGGAATGGGAGTGCTTCCCTTTGCCAGACGGGCCAAGACGCCGCCTCCGCCTGGGCCTGGGTGGGGGGCGGAGTCTGAGGCCTCAAAGAGTCCGGCTTCTGCCCTGGCCGCTGAGACCGGGCCTGAGGGACCAGTGCGGAGCGCCGGGCCCGGCCCAGGTGAATTAGCCGAGGCGCGGTCACGCTGTCCTGCGCCTCACGAGGGGGGCACGATGGCAGACAAAGAACAAGCGTAAGAATGGAGTTGGGGTTCTGCTTGGAAGAGAGCGTAGCAGCGGAGCAGCCACCGGTCACGCTCACCACACATCAGCACAAAGCAGGGTGGCCTCACGGAACGCTCCGCAGGGACGGGGCGAGCCTCTGCGCTGTCCAGCTGGGTGGCCACGAGTCACATGAGCTACTGAGTCCTGGCAATGTGCCTGGCGTGGTTGAGAAGCGGGATCAGTCACTATTAAACCGTAACGAGTTTTCAGTTCAAACAGCCCCAAGTGGCTACTACACCGGACAGTGCTGAGCGAACCCTGAGGACAGAGCGCGGGAGGCGGGGTGAGCTGAAGGTGTGTGGCTGTGACGGGGCAGTGGACTGGCCGTTGGGGAGGGCTGGGGTGTCTCCACACTCTGACACAGGCTGACTAGCGGCCCTTAACTCAGTGACCTACAGGAACAGCCGTTTCGTTTGTTCACAGCTCTGCCGTGGGGGCAGTTTCTCTGTGGGCCCTGCGCGTGGCTGCGTATGTGGCGTCCTTCATCGGGCAGGCGGCTGGGGTGCAGGGCCCTGGGGCTCCCTCCACGCCATCGCAGGCTCTCCAGTGAGGCAGCCGGCTCCGTACATGTGGCCCCGGCTCCTAAGGCACCCAGCGGAAGCCACCCGCTCCTCTTCAGGCTTAGGCCACGTGGGCCACGTTCTCGCCACCACATCACACCTCGCGCCCAGTCCTGTGGGCCTGTGAAAGCGAAATGAAGGCAGAGACCCCAGAGGCAAGCTCCAACAGGGCTGGGCGGTGTTGCTGTGCCACAGGCAGTCACAGGCCTCCGTGTTGCCACAGCTTGTCTTGATGCTCACTCCCCAAGTTGCAGGGAACCCCAAGTATGTGTCACCTTTGGTTGGTAACAGCTTTATTGAGATGTGGTTCCCCTACCAGCCAGCCAATCCACTCCAAGTACAAGGTGGCTCTTAGCCTGTTCATAGTAGCGAAGGCCTCATCACAACTGACTTGAGAACACTTTCGCCACCCCCACAGCCCTGCACCTGTTAGCAGCCACTCCCCAACCTTCCCCTCCCCTTGCACTTGGTAACCACTCACGCTGTCTCCGTGGAGGTCCCTACTCTGGACACTCCCCAGAGGGGGAGTCTTGGGTGCTTTCTCTACGACATCATGTCCAAACCAAACCAAACCAAACCAAACCACCCGCATGCTGGACTGGTTTTGCTGCCTCGGGTTATCCAAGATTGCCAGGTACGACCAGGACCTGGAACAACTGCTCAAACCCTCACTGTCCAGCGCAACGCTGGGCCTGCCCCTCCCTTTCTCCTGCTTAGCTTTATGGTTCCCAAATAAGATAAGGTGATCGGGCGAGCGTCCGCCTTGCAGAGCGGCAGGTCTACACGGGACAGAGCTTCAGCACTGAGCCATCACGTGACTGAAGACTACACTTTCACTCCACATTTAACGTGCACGTCACCCTGCGCGCCGCCTGCTGCGTCAGCCCGCCCGGTCTCAGGACAGATGCCAGGGTGTCTCGCTGGCCAGCGGAGTGTGGCAGAGGCACCGCACTAGGAGTCAGCTCTAAGCCTTCCAGGGAGTCGACTCAATTGTGACCGGAGGGGAGAACCCAAGCCAGGACCTCAAGGAGTTTGCTTGCGCTGTCAGCTACACCAGGAGGCCTCCACGCTGCGCGGCACAGCGGGGTCTCCAGAAAACTCCCTGAACGTCAGATGACAGCTCGGAGTCCCTCCCTCCCTCCCTCCCTCCCTCTCACCTGGCAGGCCCGGGCCGCTGCACCGGGACGCGGCGGCGACAAAGCACAGGCCTCCGCCCCGGCCTGGTGTAAATCGCTTCGCCAAATAAGCCATCAACTATGCAGGCTGCGCAGAGAGCGCGCCGGGGCGCAGGGACACGTCCAGGGGAGACGCATCTAGCCGGGGCGCTGGAAGGGCCACGGAGCCGGCCCGAGAGGTCAGTCTGGGCGGGCGAGGGCGGGCGGCGCAGTCAGGGTCTCACCCGCTGGCTGCCACAGCTGGACCTGCCGCGGCCCGGAGCGGGTGGCCCCGGTGCGGACGCCGGCGCCTGGAGGCAGACGGGTGGGCGCGCGGCCTGGCGCCCCCCGGGCGGAGGCGCGGCCGTGGACGCCCGGGCGAGGCGGGGGAGAGGCCGCGGGCGCGCGGCGGGAGGCGGTTCCGGGGCCCGAGGCCGAGCCGCGCGTGCCGTGGGAATGCCCGCCGGGGCGCGGGGAGGGGCGGGCGAGGCGCCGGGCCGGGCCGGGCCGGGGCGCCGGGGCGCTCGCTCCCCGCCGCGGGCCGGGCGCCGGTGTGGAGCCGCGCGCAGCCCCGAGGCCGCCTCAGCCGCGGGCCCCGGCCCGGCGGGCGCAGCGGGTCCAGCCGGAGGCGGCGGCGCGGGCTCCCGGCCGGGCCCGGGCGGGCGGCGCCCCCTCCGCGGGACCCGCGGGCCGGACTCTGCCCGGGGCGTGCGGGGCGCGGGGGCGCGGCGGGGCCGGAGCCGGAGCCGGAGCCGGTCCTTGGGCTCCCGGAAGTCCCGGCGGGCCGCGCGGCGCAGGCCGCCCAATGGGGAGGCGCGGGGGGCGGGGTGGCGAGCCGGCGGCGGGGTCTCGCGAGAGGCGGCGGCGGCGGCGGCGGCGGCGGGGCCGGCGGCGGGGGGCGGGTCTCGCGAGAGGCGGCGGCGGCGGGGCCGGCGGCGGGGGCGGGTCTCGCGAGAGGCGGCGGCGGCCGGGCCGGCGGCGGGGGGCGGGTCTCGCGAGAGGCGGCGGCGGCGGGGCCGGCGGCGGGGGCGGGTCTCGCGAGAGGCGGCGGCGGCGGGGCCGGCGGCGGGGGCGGGTCTCGCGAGAGGCGGTGGCGGCCGGGCCGGCGACGGGGGCGGGTCTCGCGAGAGGCGGCGGCGGCGGGGCCCGCGGCGGGGGCGGGTCTCGCGAGAGGCGGCGCGGGCGCGGGCGCGGCGCGGCGCGGGCGGCGCATGGAGGGCGCGGGCGACGAGCGGGCGCCGCTGCTGGGCGCGCGGCGGGCGGCGCTGGCGGGGCGGCGGGCGGCCTGCGCGGCGGTGCTGCTGGCCGAGCTGCTGGAGCGCGCGGCCTTCTACGGCGTGACGGCCAACCTGGTGCTGTTCCTCAACGGGCCGCCGTTCCGCTGGGAGGGCGCGCAGGCCAGCCAGGCGCTGCTGCTCTTCCTGGGCCTCAGCTACCTGGTGTCGCCGCTGGGCGGCTGGCTGGCCGACGCGCGGCTCGGGCGGGCGCGCGCCATCCTGCTCAGCCTGGCGCTCTACCTGCTGGGGCTGCTGGCGCTGCCGCTGCTCGCCGCGCCCCGCCCGCGCGCCGCGCTCTGCGGGCCCCCGCGCCCCGCGCGCTACTGCGCCCCCGCCGCGCTGGCCGCGCTGGCGCTCGTGGGGCTGGGCGTGGGCGCCGTCAAGGCCAACATCACGCCCTTCGGCGCCGACCAGGTGAGCGCGGGGCCGCCCCCGTCCGGGCCGCTTCCCCCCTCGGGGCGCCCGGGCGCCGGCCGAGCGGGTCCGCGGCCCTGGGGGCGGGAGAAGCCGCCCGGGCAGCCCCGTGGAGCCGAGATCCCGCTGCAGCGCGGGGCTCCGGGCGCGGGGCCGCCCTGCTCCTGCTCCGCCCGCTCCTGCCCTGCGGGGCGGCGGCCCCCGCGCCCGTCCCGCGGCCCCCGCCCTGCGCGCCGGCCTCGGGGCCTCGGGCGCCGCCGTCCCACCGCCCGGCGAGGGGCCGTGGGCCAAGTGGCCAGCGTGGGCCACGGCGCGGGGAGGCTGTGCGGGACGCCGCTGCCGGCTCGTGGAGACCGAGCGCCGCGGGGACCGGGCTCCGCCGCCGCCTGAGCGCTGCCGCTGTTCTCTGCGCCCCGGAGCGCGCCTCGGGCCTGGTCTCATCTGCGCCCACCCAGGTCTCCCTGGCCCTGCCTTCGCCTCGCGACAGATCCTCTGTCACCGCCCGTAGGTGCCGCGCGGTCAGGCCGCCTGGGCAGTGCCCCAGCCGCCAGGCTGAGACCCGCGTCCTGGAAGCTGCAGAGCCGGTTCTGCTGGGCCCGGCGCCGGGCCGGGCGGACTGCGCCCCGGGCACGAGGACGCTGGCGAGTGGGGCCTCCTCGCCCTCTGCCCTGTGTCCGCCTCCGCATACTGGACAGGGCTGTCCCGCGCGCAGCGGCGGGAGGCCCTGACCGGGGTGGGGGTGGCAGGGCAACTGGGTTTGGACCCAGCAGCGTCCTAGTCTTGCCGGAACGGCCCTACCACGCGTCCAGAAGTGCGCGTCCACGTGTGAACGCGTGTCTGGGGACAAAGCTGGGAAGAGCCGGCAAAGCCAACTACGGCGCTCTCGGCCTTGCTGCGAGGCTGCCATCGCTCACGCGGGAAGTGAGAGTGGTTGGGCGGGTGGAGAAGCCAGGTGTGGCCCCCACGCACCGGCCTAGGCTCGGCCAGGAACGGGGGAGGCCCTGACACCTGCCCACGAGCCGCACCTGCGCGGCAGGAGGCCTCCATCGGATGAAACGCCTGGGAAGACGAAGCCACGGGACGAGAAGACGGGCGAGCCCCGGGGCGTGGGGGCACGACCCTGAGCGCTGAAGGACACGGGGTCCTGCTGGGGGGAGGGGAAGGTGGGCCTGGCTGGTGGCGCGGGCAGCGCAGCTGTGCGCTCGAGCCCCTCGGAGCGCGGACGTTGAGCTCGCGGTGCGGTCAGCGGGACCCTCTGCACGGGCCCCCACAGCTGCGTGTCTCCTGCCGGGCGCGGCTGCTCTGGGAAGGGGGCTGGGGGTGCTGGCTGCGGGGCTGTCTCCTGCCCTCCTTGTCTCCGGGAAACCTTTCTCTGGTGCTTTCTGCTTCTCCGTCGCGCTGGCCTCGTCTCCAGCTCAGGGCCTCCAGGGCCAGGCCCCGGGGAGAGCAGCGGGCGGCAGATGCGCGGCGGCGGCTGCTGCGGGGTGTCCGCGGCACCCAGTGCCCAGGGCCGGCCGGCCTCTCAGCGCCAGCACTCCTCGGGGCGGTGCCCATTTGCCATAGCACCGGAGGGAAGAGGCTGGCTTTGCCGCGCCTGTGCCTTGGAAGGCCTTTCTCCAGAGCAGGCTGCTGCCGGTGGGCGCGGTGCCGCCTGACCCGGTGGCGGCCCCGTGGGCGCTGCTTCCCCTGCGCTACAGAACGCCCTGTCTGGCCCGGCCTTGGGGTGACGCCGCCTCCTGGCCTGTTCCTCGAGCCGACGCCGGGGGCTGGTCTGGCGGCCCCTCTCTCTCAGGCGGGCCCCAGAGCTGATGTGCTTGGTTTCTTCAGGTGCATCCCCCGCCCCACCCCCGCTGTGCGAGTCGGGCCTCCTGCTGCGCTCTGGCCGCCTGCGGGGGTCCGGCCAGGCGCCGTGGGGGCGGCGGTCTCAGAACGCGGGGTTCCTTTAAACCTGGGCTGCCAGCCTCTGGCGCGGAGACCGTGCGATTATGTCACGTGTGTTTCTGGCCCACACAGTAGCCACGCTTAATCATTTGGGTTTAAAATATTTTTTTTGATGACCGCGTCGGCGCGTGAATCTTCACGGAGACGCTGTGACGTCGAGTCGTCTGATCCAGGGAGATGCTCGGGCTCCGCTCGTTGGCTGGGTCTCTGGCCTCTGGAGAACCTCCTTTGTTGTTTAGGAAGGGGTGCGGCCTTGGGGCTCACGAGTCCGGCCTGTGACTGTCAGGGGAGGTCCCTCCTTTCCCTGGCCCGTAGCCCCGGGTGAGGCGGCAGAAGATCCGGGCAGCACGGCCTTTGTTTAAACGCCCCGTGGGCTGAAGTCTGCTGGACAGACTGACCGTCAGAGCTTTCTCTTGGCGTCGCCGTGACTAAAACTCCGGGTGGAAGGGCGTCGAGGTGGGCCCAGTCCCCGGGGAACTGTGGCCAGCCCGGCGGGGGGCTCGTGGGAGTGTCCTCGAGGCCCTGGTCCACCTCGCTGCTCACACGTGCCGCGTTCTGGAGTCTGTCTTACCAGAATTCCCCTGGTTTCGCTGAAGTCTTCAGATCTAAAAACAGCTCGTGGTTTGGGCTTGAGCCTTTCACTTCCTCTTTGCTCCAGATTTCGTGCCGTGTGGCCCTTAGGTGTGTGACAGCGGGTGCAACGGCCACGAGCAGAAATCCCCGCACAGCTGCTTAGAGCGCAGCTTCCTGGGCCCAGCCCCAGAGATGGTGCGTGGGTAGGTCTGGGACGTGGGTCCCACGAATCTGTGTTTTTAAGGAGTGTTCCAGATGTTTCCAAAGCAGGTGCCCACTGAGGAGCCTGGGAGAGGCCGTAGGCTTAATGGGTTTCGGGCTCGTGGGCTCGCCCGGGGTGGGCATGGCTGCGGTTGTCGCGCCTACCTGCGCCGCGAGCAGCGCTGGGGGGGCTGCGGGCAGCAGGGGTGTCGTGCCTCGTGTGTGTGGTTTCATCCGTGAAGCTGACCCTTGTAAGTCTTTATTCCTCCCTGTTTTTCAGGTTAGAGATCGAGGTCCAGAAGCCACAAGAAGGTTTTTTAATTGGTTTTATTGGAGCATCAACCTGGGAGCAATCCTTTCGCTAGGCGGCATCGCCTACGTCCAGCAGAACGTGGGGTTTCTGGCCGGCTACATCATCCCCACCGTCTGCATCGGCATGGCCTTCCTGGTCTTCCTCTGCGGCCTGAAAGTTTTCGTCACCAAGCCTCCCGACGGCAGCGCCTTCTCCGATATGTTCAAAATCCTGGCCTATTCCTGTTCTCCCCAGAGGCGAGCCCGGGAGCGCAGGCTGAGTGGGTGAGTGTGGCTCTCCTCGCGGCTCCGCCACAGGGGCGAGAGGCCCAGCATCCGGCCGGCCCGGTGGTGTGCCAGCCTGCTCCATCCCCACAGCTCGCGCTATCCTCTTGCCACTGACCCGGGTGGACGCTCCCCACCCAGCCAGTTCCACAGAGATGGGGTGGATAGAAGGATGCAGAGGGAGACGCGACCCTGCATTCCTCAAGCACTTCTCCGTTCAGGAAGCTCTGAAACCATTCAAATCAAAAACCAAGCTGTAGCTTATTTTGTGTGTGTGTCTCTGCCCCTCCACGGGCTGCTGCTGCCACCTGGGGCTGTAGCCTGGCGGGTTGGCACAGCCCAGTTACCCAGAGAGGGACATGAGAACAGCATTTGGAGAAGCGAGTAGAGTGACTGCATCACCCGTTTGCATGGGGCTCCCCAGCTTTAGCATTGAAAGTCCCTTGAACCGAAACCCCACACCTGGGGAAGCCGCCGGCCCAGGCAGGCTGCAGTGGGCACTGCATGCTGAGTAACCGGAGAGCAGGCGCTGGGCCCAGAGGACCTTGGAGCTCTGCGCTGTGGCTCCCTGGGGTGTCGCTGACATCTCCTGAAGCCTTTGTTTCCAACAGCAGCGCCCTGGAGCCTGTGGCACAGGCCCTTGGGGTCGCACGTCTCCCAGCACCCCAGAAAGCCATGGCCCTGACGGTGGGCCCCTCGGTATGTCTTGGTTCAGGGAGTGAGTCCTTGCGTGAGTGCGGCTGACCACCTGGACACAGCTTCCCGCGAAGCAGCTTGGGGTGGGAGGCGCCAGGCGGCCGCCCTGCTCCTGGCTCCGCATGTGTCTCCAGCACCGGTGGCCGGCGTTCCTTCGCTTCCCTGCCGCAGGCCGGACAGTCCTGGCTTCCCCAGCTGTCCCCGTGCTGGTGGGGCCCTCGCTCTCGGTTGGCCTCCTGGAGCTGCCGCGGTCCGTGTGTCCGGCAGTCACACACGCCCCAGCCACGTGCGTTGGGGTCAGACCAGAGAATTCAGTTGGTGCAGCTGCACCCAAGCAGCCCAGTGCCTGCCAGGCCCTTGCTGTGAATTTCAGCAGCGCACGGCTCTGCGGCCTGGGCGTCCTCCTAGGACCCAGCAGCCCTTCCCCAGAGGAGCTTCGTGTGCAGGTGCCACAGTGAAGAGGCTTTGGACTGACTTTGGTTTTGGGTCTGGTCTCTTGTGTGGTGTGATCTGGCACGTCTCCTCTGGCCCAGGAAGGCCGGCTTGCGGAGGTCAAGAAAACCCAAGGTCCGTGCCCTCCTCTGCGTTAGGCTGGCCTTGGCCCTGGGCAGGCTGATGGCCTCGCCCTCTCCGCTCCCTGTGTCTAGTGTGGGCCTGGCAGGACCAGGGGTGGCCCATGTAGTCCTGCGCCCCCGTGACCACCACTGCTTTCAGAGCATGTCCGTCCAGAACCATGTTTGTGTCTGACCGTCTGACCAGGCCTTTTTTTTTTTTTGGCGGAGAAGAACTGGGGTGCAGGCCAGAGGACTCCCCAGAGGCAGGGTGGGGAGCAGAACAGGCGGCTCTACCGAAATCCACTGCTGAGGGGCGCAGTGGGGAGACAGGAGAGGTCTGCTGCGTCCTGTGGCTAGCTCCCTGGCCGGGGATAGAACTCAGGCCACAGGGGTGACAGCCTGAGACTCAACCGCTAGGCCGCGGGCAGGCTGCAGGCTGACTGTGTGCCCCTGCGGATGTTAAAGGAAAATGAGCGCGTCTGTTCTGCCGTGGGGCGGGTGGGCGTGGCTGGGGCGTGCCTGAGTGCGTGCGTATTTGGGTTGCGCATCCGGCCACTCGGGACCTTGCTGGGGTGGGTTCCGGGACAGGGACCCTGCAGACGGCGCGTGTCCACTTCTGGGTCCGGTCCGTGGCCGCTCGTGGCCGCGGTCCCCGCCTGGCTGCGTGAGCACTGCGGGCTGGGCGCGCGGGCAGGCGAGGCGGAGCACGAGTGACGTGCACGTGGAAACCTCGCCACGCTTCTGGGCTGCGCAGCCGCGGGGACGCGCATTCAGCGTCTCACGGGGAGACCCGGCCCGGGTTGTCTCAGGCTGTGGGCGGGCGGGTCCTCTGGGCAGCAGAGGAGGAGAGGATTAGGAGAAGTCGGGAACGTTTTCAGATGAAGAGACGAGGGACGCCGCGGGGCTGGTTTCACTCTGAGTGTTTCTGCCGTCCAGAAGAGGAAGCGCGTCTGCGGGAGACTCACCCTGCAGCCTCCAGCTCTGGCGGCGGAGCGGGGCGTCGAGTGGGCACCTGCTGGACCTTGTGAAATAGAATTTAGGTTTTTTTCTGTTGAAAATGGGATATTTCCTTGATTAGAGGCAGGTTAAATGTCAGCAGTTACGAAACAAAAGCCGCCTGGCGTCGCGCGTGGGCGGGCGGGGCTGGGAAAGGGCGCCTGCGTGCGCCTCTGGCTCTGGGGCCGGAAGCTGTTTCACGGTGGCGGTTGCCCGGGTGTCTCTGGGTTTAGACGATAGTGCGCAACGGGAGCAATTTGTAATCACCACTTCATATCGATCACTGCTCCGTGATGTGTGTGTCATAAGCAATGCCCGAGCACAGTAGCGAGCCGGCAGCTGCCAGCCGCTAGCCAGGAGGGAGCCCCTGTGCCGGGCATGGCCCGCTGTTGGCACCCACAGGCGGTGTCCCCTCCTCCAGCGGTCGAGCCGCCCGCGCAAAGCCAAGGCTGCTGGGCTCAGGACCCAGCCCCCGGGCTCCAGCGAGTCTCCTCGGGGCTTCCTCCCCTGCCCAGGGCCCAGCAGGGCATCCGGGTCCCTCCTGAGGTGTGGTGTGTGCTGAGCTGCCAGCTGACATCCTCCCGTCTCCATCCTGCCCCCGTGACGCCACCCCTGCACCCACGCTTCCGGCGTCGCTGTGGCCGTCGGGTCTCGACGTTGGGTAAATTGCCCGAGTGGACATCCACATCCCCCGGGGCGGATTGCATTTCAAACACGGAGCCAGCGACGTAGCTGTCGCCGCTGCTGCTGAGCCCGCGGCTGCGCAGACACAGGCTGCTGCCCGGTGTCGCCACCCAGGGCCTCCCGCGCGCGGCTAGAGCGCCAGGGGCAGCGTGGCAGCCACGTTAGGTGCGATCAGTGGGAGCGGAAGTAGCAGCTCGCGCAGAAGCTGGTGAGGCGTGGGGCGCAACCCCAGACTTGATTTGTTGCCAAATAGTTGATTTCTGGGGGTGGAAAAAAACTAATTCCTTCATTTTATTTCCCAAAGTGAAGGCCTTGGCGTCTTTCAGCCATCTTCTAAACAAAGTCTGTTTGATTCATGTAAGATGTCTCGTGGAGGGCCCTTCACGGAAGAGAAAGTGGAAGACGTGAAAGCCCTGGTCAAGATCATGCCTGTGTTCTTGGCTTTGATCCCTTACTGGACAGTGTACTTCCAAGTGAGTGCCCCGGCCGCCCGGCTCTGCGCCATCCCGGCGGGCCTGGCCCTGCCCGGCACACCGGCTGCGAGCACCCAGGGGCCCGCGGGTCTCGGTGGGCTGCGCTGGCCGCCGGCAGTGTTTGGAAGACCTTCTCGCCCCCAGGAGTGCTGGGACGGGCAGGCCTGATTCTCTGGGCCGCGCCTCTGGCTCTTACTGGGACACCAGAGTTGACTCCTGGGGCTGCGGGGAGGAGCCGCTGCCCAGGGGAGGGCCGGGCGGCGAGTTCGCAGGCGGAGCTGCTCAGGCGGTGACTCTGCTCTTCATGCCCAGATGCAGACGACCTACGTGCTGCAGAGTCTTCATTTGAGGATTCCAGAAATTTCCAATCTCACGACCACTCCTCACACGGTGAGAGCTCCGGCGCAGTCTGCGTCCTGTCCCCCGGGGTCGGGGGGCGCGGGGGGAGATGTTGGCACTGAAACGTGACTTTCCCTCGTCAGAGCCCCTCCCCCGCGGGCCTGGTGTGTCAACCGCCGGGTTAAGCAGATGAGTTTCAGTTGAACGTTCAGCTTCCTCACCTGACTCCCCCCCACCCCCCCCAGTGCAGAGAGACAGGCGGGGCCCTGAGCACCACAGGGGGCCGTGTCCAGGGACAGCCTTTCTCCCGCGGGGTGAGCCTTCCCTGCACGAGGGCCGTTCCTGAAATAAGTTTCTCCCTTTTAGACATTAGTGCTCTTAAGTGGCTTCGCGTGATGCAGAGAAAACAAACGGGCTTCTTGTGTATTGAAATTCCAGTTCCCGGCAGCCTGGCTGACGCTGTTCGATGCGGTGCTCATCCTCCTGCTGATCCCGTTGAAGGACAAGCTGGTGGACCCCCTCCTGAGGAGAAACGGCTTACTGCCGTCGTCCTTGAAGAGGATCGCGGTCGGAATGTTCTTTGTGATGTGTTCTGCCTTCGCTGCAGGTGAGCAGTCCTTCGGCCTCGTTCCTGCTCAGAACCGGCTCGGCGGCGTGCGTGGCCCTCACACAGCGCCCGGCCCCGGGAGAGGACGTGGGTCGTCGCCGTACACGGGAATGTGCTTCGTTTTCTAGGTTTTCACCATGCGAAGTGCACGATTTCTTCCCCGAAGACTGGTCCCTTCTTTCCAGGAGCTCAGAGCCCAGGGGTGCTCCGGGTGGGACTGGGGGTTGAGCCAGCGGGTCTCGGGCAGCTGCCGACTGCCGGGTGGCGCTGCAGCGCTGGCGGGTGGCCCGTAATTCCTCATAACCCTCCCGGATGTGAGCCCGCCTCTGGCCACTGCAGGCTGCAGGGCGCCCGGGCACCTGTGTGGGCCTCCACGGCGCCCACGCGGCGTCTCCCGGGCCGGGTGCAGGGACAGCCCTCGGGCCCTGCGCCCACTCCAGGGTGAAGCATCTTGCTGAGAAGGCTCGAGTGTCCCCGGCTGTAGCAGCCTGCTTAGCCGTTCTTTTTTCATCACTATTTGAAAGTCACTGAACCACAAAACCACTTTCGTATGACAAAAAACGCGGAAATTCCTGCACCCACTCGGCCTCCGCTGCGGCGAGGCCTGCTGGTCAGGCTCGGCCGGGAGGGCGCGTGACTCCGGCGCCTGCGCAGCAGCGGTCGCCTCCCGGCCAGCGCGCGCACTAATGCAGGGCTTACTAAGGAAATGAGTCCCAGGCCTCAGAAACCCGCACTCCAGAGAGGCCTTCTTGGAAGACGGCTGGGTTTTCTCCTACTCCAGCCGGTCACTGATGTCTGGGGTCTCCGTGGGGGTTCTGTGCGCTCGTGGCCTCTGGGCCTGTCCTCTGTGGTCTCCGGGCCGGCCGGCAGACGTCTGGTGTGTTTTTGTGGAATTGCAAACACGAGGCAGCACATGCTCCACTGAACGGCTTGTGACTTGCAGGAATCCTGGAGAGCAAGAGGCTGGACCTGGTCAGGCAGCACACCATCAACCAGACCATCGGGCACGTGGTGTACCAGGCGGCCGACCTGCCCATGTGGTGGCAGGTGCCCCAGTACGTGTTCATCGGCCTCAGCGAGATCTTCGCCAGCATCGCAGGTGAGGCCAGGGGCAGGGCGGGGACCTGCCGGGGGCACACGGGGGTCTACTGGGGCTGGCCCTGGGGTGTTGGTGCGGAGTCCCACTCCAGGGGGTGAGTGGGTGAATGGCCAGGGATGCTGACGAGCGTCCCCTGCTTGGTCTGAAAACAAGATGGCTGCCCGAACTCTTCGGCTGCCCGAGAGGGGCTCCGGAGAGCAGAGGAAGGGCCGGCCAGGTGGGTAAGTTCTGGGTCCGACCGCTGGCAGACGCCCCAGCCCGGGCTTCGGCTCAGCTAGAGAAGGAAGCACCCCTCGGCTTTGGAACACACTCTCCGGGCCACTCCCGCTGCTGGCGTCTGCGCGGACGGTGTTCTGGGCAGGGCACGGGGTGTGGGCAGGAGGCGCCGGCTCTCCCCGGGGGCTGCCAGGCTGGGCGGGGCCCCACAGGCCGCACTCCCAATGGCCCTCTGACGCCGCTCGCGGGCCTGCCTGTGGGGCCGTGCCAGAGCAGACCGCCTCAGAAGCAGGGCTCTCGCGGACCCCCATTCCAGTGCACGTGTTCGCTTTCAGACTCCTCCCACTTGCGAGCGCACGGGAACGTGTCCTTGGTTCTCCGCGCAGAGCGGGGACCCTGCGAGCCCGACACTGTCTAGTGTGAGGAGCTCCGGGCGCGTGGGGGAGCGGCCAGCGTCGGGGAGCGGCCGGCATGGGGGCGCCAGCAGCCGCCCAGGCCCGAGGCTGTGGCTCTGCCCCCTGGCTGGGGCCCCGGCCGGACAGGCCAGAACCACCACCCTAGTCGGCTCCTGTAACGTACCCACCTCGTCCCTCCAGGCCTGGAGTTTGCGTACTCGGCGGCCCCCAAGTCCATGCAGAGCGCCATCATGGGCCTCTTCTTCTTCTTCTCCGGCGTCGGCTCCTTCGTGGGCTCGGGGCTCCTGGCTCTGGTGTCCCTCAAAGCCATCGGGTGGATGAGCAACCACACAGACTACGGTGAGCGGCGGCCGGGCACAGGGAGGGTGGGGTGGGGTGGGGGGTGGAGGGGGGTGTTGCGGCTGGCTGCCCTGAGAGCCCAGTTAGGCCGCATGTCCTGGTCCCGGTGCCTGCGGGGGGATCTTGGCACACGGCTCAGCAGCCCCACTCAGGGCCAATGGGGGCGGACCCCCAGGGTAGCTGTGCTGAGTGGAGGGCCTGGCCCTCTTGGGCTCCTCCTGTGGCCGGAGCAGCCTCGTGTGGGTGCCAGCCGCCCACGTGTGCGTGCTCCCGCCGTGGCCTCAGGCTGCTGGCAGGGATGCACGGTCTGGTGTGGGGAGAGCCTTGTGCCCTCGGCTGGCGCTGCTTGGGCAGAGCTGCAGACACCAGAAGCCCCTCGTGTGGCCGAGGGGATCGCTGCGCCAGGAGACGCTGGCACACGGGCGGCGCAGGCCGCACTGGCTCTCCAGCGTCAGGGGCGAGGGATCTGGAGGGCAGGGAGCAGGGCGGAGCAGGGCCGCCCGCCTGGGGCAGCTCACACGTCTCCTCCCTGCAGGCAACATCAACGGCTGCCACCTCAACTACTACTTCTTCCTGCTGGCCGCCATCCAGGGCGCCACGCTGCTGCTCTTCCTCCTCGTCTCCGTGCGGTACGACCGCCAGCGGGCGAGGGCCAGCAGCAGGCCGGGCGGCAGGCCGGGCAGCAGGCACACCTGACCCAAGGACAGTGGGGGCGGGCCTAGCGTCCTGGGACTTACCTGGCGCCGGATGGGGCTCGCTGCTGCCCCCACAGGCGCCCCCCGGTAAGTGCCTTGTCTCAGACCCGACCTGCCCGGCACGGCCGCAGCTGGACTTCCAGGCCGAGGCCGCGGGTCCCTGCCCGCGCCATGTGGCGTTGGCTTTCTTCTTCTTGGTTGACGAACCCGCTTATCTTGAGGAGTCGGGGGAAGCCAGGGCGTGGTCGGGGCCAGAGGCCGCCTGTGGCCGTGCCCCTCTTCGTTCCTCTGCCAGCTCTTGCCGCACTGCCTCTGCCAGCGCCGCCCGCGGGGGCGCGCTTCGCTACTTTGGAGACACTTTCTCAATGGCCGGCCGTGCGGCCCCCGAGAGCGAGGGCGGGAGGCGCTGGGCCGGCCGCGGGCCTGACCTCGGGTGTCCGGCCTCTGTGCAGGCTCGTCCTGCGCGGGTGGGTCCCGGGCCTTGGCCACGCAGACCGGCGGTGGGGAGGCGGCGGGAACCTCGTAGCAGCAGCGCGTCCGCGCGCACGGGACCTGCTGCGGGCCGGGGCTCTGGCTGGTCAATAAACTGTTCTCTGCCGCTGCGTCCCTGTGTGACTTCTTCGTGGCACGTCGCGGGTGTGGGCCTGCCGGCCTGTGCGGTGCCGTGCAGTGCGCTTAGCCACATCCACGTGGGCGCAGCGGGCTCGGCCGCTCCCCACGTCAGCAGCACCTCCCGGCCCAGGGCCGGGCCCCGCGGTGATGCTGGCGCTGTGCTGTGTCCATTGGTGTCTCGCGCTTGGAGAAAAGACCGGCTTAACCATCAGCCTCGCGGCTTATCTTGAGACAGAATATCTGGTTGCAGAGGCGGAGTCCTGGGGGCTGGCCAGCACTGCCCAGGGAGTCCTCACCCTGCAGAGGTGGCCTGGGCACCCCAGGGCCCCGCCGCACAGAACGAGCGACGAGCCACTGACAAGCTGTCAAGAAAACAGATTCTGGGCCTCCTGACGGGCTAAGGGTTCAGTCTCAGGCTGTCACCGTCGCGGCCTGAGTTCGATCCCCGCCAGGGAGCTACCCACAGGGCACAGCAGACCTCTCCTGTCTCCCCGCTGCTCCCCTCGGCAGTGGATTTCAGTAGATCGGCCTGTTCTGCTCCCCGCTCTGTCTCTGGGGAGTCCTCTCACCGCCCCCTCCCCCACACCTCTGGCCTATGCCCCAGTTCGTCTACACGAAAGTAAATAAAATCTAAAAAAAAAAAAAATAAAGGTTCCAAGAATGAGCCACGAAAGGGGAAAAGGTCAGGGAGGGGTTCTGGCAGGTGGGGGCGGGCGTGGTGGGGCTGCCGCCCTGCCTGAGGCCCAGGGCTGGGGTGCGGGCGCCCAGGGGTCCTCCCCGCCCTTGCAGGAGCAGACGGACAAACAACCTCTTCATGCGTTGGCTGAACCTGGGCTGGGCCCCCCCCGCCGGCCAGTCACGGAATGAACAAACTCGGGCCCGAGAGACCTCGGCCTCAGAGCGGCCGGCGTCTCCGCCGCGTGCTGGGCCGCGAGCCCGTGCCAGGTCCTGGGACGCGCGCCAGGAGCCCTGGCCCCTCTAGGTGCGGGGCAGCGGAACCGGGTGGGCCTCGGGGCCACCAAGCTGCCATGGGGTGTGGGCACCCAGGGGCGCGAGGCGGCATGCGACAGTCACCCGTCGGCGAGGCCTGCGCTGGCCACCCGGAGCCCGCCCGTGAGAACCCCCGCGGCCCGGGCCTGACATCGCGCGGCCTGCAGCGCCGGGACACGGCCGTGGGAGGCGGCCTTTGAGGGGCGGCACATGCCAAAGTGCTGCCGCGTCAGCCGCTGAGGACGAGAGGAGCGAGGCAGGCCGGGCGGCTGGAAGCCCGTGTGCCCGCGACCCCGGCCCGCGCGGAGCCCACCCCGCAGGAGCCGGGCGCTGCCCCCGGCCTGCCCGGCGAAGCACACAGCCGAGCGGCCTCGGGCGAGAAGACTTCTCAGCAGCCCCCCGGTTTCCAGCTGTAGCACCCCAACACTGCCGGGGCTTCCCTGCCTGGCCGTGTCCCCTGTCCTGGGCTGGGCCCCTCCCATCCCGCCTGACCCTTTCCCCTGCGCCCGGGCCCACCGGCATCCGGGGCTCGCCCCCCAGGCTAGTCGCCCCTCTGTGCCGCCTCGGGCTCCGGAGCCGCCACTGCCGGACCCAGGCGAGCCGGCCCCCGCGTCAGCCCCCAGCCCCTTCCACGCAGCCGGCGTGACCGCCGGGTCCTCCCTGCACGTCCGCCGGTGCCCGCGGGGAATACGCCGGCGCAGACGGCAAGTCGGGGGCCGGGAGGGGGCGGCCGCGCAGCGGGGTGTGGGGCCCTCCGTGTTCCTGCCGTCTCGGCCTGAGCGCGGACAGACTGAAAGCAGGAGTGGGTTGCGGGAGCGCGACTTCGAGGCGCCCGCTCTCCCGGGACCCCGGCCCCTCGGTCCGATATGCTCAGCTGCCCGAGGCGGCCTAAGCTGAGCTTCGCCCACAGCCGGGCTGCAGCCGCGGTCGCCTCCCTCCACCCACCCCGAGCGCCCCCAGGGCCCCAGGAGGTGCCGGACTGGCCCTGTGCTTCCTCACGTGAGGGGTGCTGCCCGCAGAGGCCCAGGCCCACGCCCTCCGCACCCACAGGCCGGCGCTCCTCGGACACTGACAGTCCGTGTCAGTGACCTGGGGTGGACCGAGCCCCCGACCTGGCGGCTCCCGCCCCCCAGGGTTTAAACCCCAGCCAGCCCGGCGGCTTCCTTGAGGAACCGTGAAGCCCGGGGGGGCTGTGCCCTTGGCCGGACAGCCCCCTCCCTCGGCCGCGCTGGAGCCCGCCGTGCCATGACCCCTCGGGCAGCCGCTCACCTTGCACACAGGCCTTGGTTCTGGAAGGCTCCCTCGCCCCACGTCTCAAGCAGGGGTGCCCACCCAGCCGGGCCCCGCCACCCCCGGTCTGGAGCCGCCCGTGGGCCTGCACCCGGCCGGGCCGGGACTTGTTCTCCGAGCCCCGCGAGGCTGGGTTTTTCCGCTGATTGCGGCTGATTCGCCTCAGCCCGGGGGCCCACGGGAACGCCAGCGCGCAGGTGCCAGCGCTCAGGGCCGGGACCCGGGGGGCCTCCTTTGCGGGGCGAGGGCTTCGCAGGTGGGGGCTGAGGGTCTCCTTGAGGTGCCGGACGGGATGGGCGGGTTATCTGGGGGAGCCTTGGGGTCCCGGCGCCCTTGTAAGTGGAAGGGGGGCAGGGGCTCGGAGTCGGGGAGACGGGACAGGAGGGACACTGGGCCTCCCGCCCCAGGTGCCACGTCCAGCCCCAGCGCCCGGACCCCAGCTTGGCCTCTGTGAGCCCTGGGGGGCCTGGAGCCGAGGACCCGGAGGCGGGCGCCAGCTTGGGGTGGGCCTGCGCTGGCCATCCCAGACCTGAACCCCAGCCCAGCCGCTGGACGCTCGCGGGCCTGAGCTGAGCCGTGTCCAGGGCTGTGGGCGCCGCAGGGCGGGTCGGCGGCGCGGTGGCCCGGCCGGGGGTCGGGGAGGCAGGGCCAGCTCCCCACCCGCGGCGCGGCCCTCCCCGCTCACCCCGCGAAGCCTCCGCGACCTTAAACCTGGGGCTGCAGCCCGAGCTCCGCTTTCAGGGCACGGGCCGGGGCGGCCGCAGCGCGCGGGCGGGGGCTCCGCCAGGGGCAGGGGCGCCAGAGACCGGGGCCCGGGCAGGGAGACCGCGGGGCGCTGGGCAGCCGGGCAGCCCCGCCCCCGCCGGCGAGAGACCGGGCCCGGCGCGCCGCCCGGCGGCTGGACGCGGCACTGCAGGCTGCTGTCCCGGGCGGCGCTGACCCGCGGGCGGGCGGGCGGGCGGGCGGCTCGGGCCTCTCCGGCTGCGTTCCAGGGCCGCGGGAAGGAGCAGGCCGCCCCCGCCAGGCCCCGCGCAGCCTTCCCCGGGAGACCCGTCAGCCGCCCCGGGAGGCTCGGGGGGCGCGCCCTGGAGGGGTGTCTGGGCCGCAGCCCCAACAGCAGCCCTTGGCCGTCAGCTGTCCAGCCCCGAGAGAAAGGCCGACGTGTCTGCTCCGCGCCAGGGCAGGACCTGCCAAGGGCAGAGCTCAGCCATGGCCTCTGTGCACACACGCCCGGGTGCCCGTGCACACAGGCACACAGGTGTGCACATACAGCTGCACACACAGCTGTGCACACCAGTGCACACACAGGCATAGGCACGCGTGTGCATGTTCACACATGATGCACACCCAGGCAGGGCGAGACCATGGAGCTGGCGTGAGAATGACGTCAGATCCCAGCCAGAGTCTGTGTCAAATAAGACGCAAAACATGGCAGCGGCGGTGACTGCTGAGGCCTCGACCGCGCGTGCCAGAAGCAGGGCGCGGAGTGCAGGGGGGTGGGGCGGCGGGCGCAGGCCTGGCTGCCTCTGGGAGCCAAGGGGTGGTCCCGGGGGCTGAGACGGCAACGAGGTCGACATGGGGCGAGGGGCGCTGGCCGGACCCAGCGGCTGCATCTCCGTGGCCCTGCACGTCGGTCGGCACATGGTACAGGAGGGGAAAATGCATCTCGGGGGCTTGTCCCTGGCTGCCGGGCCCGCAGCTGGCAGGGGTGGCGGGGGGGCTGCAGCCCATCACCAGGCCCTTCTCTCCCCGCCCCGCAGCCCCACCTGCCACTCAGGTACTGCCGCAGCCCGAGCCCCCCACTGCCCCCCTGCACTCGGGCAGAATCCAAACGCCCTTGAAATTGAGATGTTTCCATTCAAATCCGCCCCTCCGGGCTGCTGTACATCGGGGACGGGCAGAGCACGTTGGGCTAAAGCGGGAGATGACTGGCGCCATCACTCACGCTTCAGCCTGGCCGGGAGCGGCGGCCCCGGTGGGTTCCCGTCTGCACGCCCCTCTGCGGCCGGCGCGGCCGAGTGTCCAGGCTTCCCCACCGACAGTGAGTCGGGGGCAGGCCCCATGGCTGTCCGCGGCTGGCACTGGCCACGCAGAGCTGTCCGAAGGGCCGGGTCCGGCCAGCGCCCCTCGCCCCATGTCGACCTCGTTGCCTTCTCAGCCCCCGGGACCATCCCTCGGCTCCCCGAGGTCCAGCCTTCGATCAGCTGCATCTGCAGCCGGAGAAGCTGATGGGCCCAATGATCAGGCCCTTCCTGGGGGTTCCCTGTGCATGGAGCTCCCTCCCTTCGGGGAAGGAGAGGCCACATCCAGTTTTCTTGGGGGGACCAGGAAGGACGAGGTCGGCGGCCCATCTGGGCCCAGGTGAGCCCGACTGACAAGCTGCTGGGCGATGCATGGGCACAGCCTACCGGGGCCGGGCGCTACCGTCTTGCCAGCTGTCCCCTGGCTCTGGCCCGCCGGCCCCTGGCGGGGGAGCGTTGGTGGCCAGCCACGCGAAGGGCCCCGTCCCTTCCAGGGACTCAGCATCCACCTCATTGGCTGATCTCGCCTCTCGGGCTATGGCGACTTGGACTCCCGTGGTCCCGCTGGGCCACATGCGGGCCTCCTGCTGACCGGGCCTGGAGGAGGCCCCAGTGGCCCGACTCTAAGGTCGTAATACAGCGTCTGGGGGGAGTGGACCCTCTGCTCTGTCCCTGGGG